ATCAATCAAGAGAAAAAATTTGTTATGTTCATGCAAAGACAAAGGGGAAATCACCAAGACTGTATAGAATATATTTTACATGCAAAGCACTAAAATTCTGATATGTTATAGCAAATGATAATTAGCTTGTTTGAGCTCATCATTGATTAATGGAAAATAACCAACTTTTCTCCTTTTATTTCACATATCTATTTCATTTCTTTTTCTTAGATAATAGCAAATTTTTATTTAAAGTAGTCAAGCTGCTACAAGAATAAAAGTTTGCTATCAACACTATAACTGGAAAACTTCAGAAAACTTTAACAACAAATCAAATGAACATAGCAGTATCTAGCCCTCAAGCATCACAAAAGCATTCTCCGACAATATGAAACTAATAAATCTAGCATTTTATGAATAGAAAAATAGAAAATTACAAATGTTGGCATATCCTTTTTCTTTTGTAATTTTTAATTTATCCCCTACTCTTATATTTATTTGACTGAAAAATATACATTATATGCATAAATTTTTTGAAATCCGCAATCCTCAAGTGCATTTAATATTATATTAATTAATTCAAAGATTAATTGATTATTCGTATATTTATTTCATTTTCCTATATTGATTGTCATAATGTACAGATTATGAACTTAATTGCTAGATATGAAGTCGTCATCAATCATTTTTTTTTAAATGTGATTGGCTATTTAACTAAGGTTCCATTTGAATGAATAAATGAGTTTGGTTTCGGTGAGATTAAAAACAGCGATGAAGGTGAGATTAGTTATATTAGTATTGAGATTGGTTACTATAACGTGAGATTAAAATCACTAATAGATATATGCATTAGGAAACAAATGCAATGGTGGTGGTGAGATGAGTTGTGATGAAAAAATAAATGACCATTAAAGATAGTATATTAAAATTTATATGTAATAAAAAAGAAAATAAAAATAAATTGTTTGGACATTATTGTCCAATTTGCATCCAGTTAGCCACTGCACCCTCCATACTCCAGTTTTTCACCGAAGGTTCAGTGCAACCAAAAGCTTTCCACTGGACTTTGAGAATGTTTGCCAAACAACCAACTGCGGCACGATTGGGCAAAAAAGTGCCTCAACTGTACCACGCTGGAGCTCCGTTTAAAACCAAATGAAGCCTAAATGTCTCATTTTAAAGACAAATTCAAGTATCTTTAAAAGTTATATTCTAATTAATGAAAGCAAGTTAGATTTGAAAGTACGATTATAAATAATACTCTCAAAACACTCATAAAAAAATATAATAATTATTTTATTGTTATCTATTAAGTCACAAAATTTACACATATTGAAAATTATTTTTAATTGACTTCAATATTATGATCGAAAATTAAGAAAATTTCTTACCTCAGAAGTATATAAAAAAATAATTATTTTTTTTAAATATAAAATTTATTTTATTATTATTATAAATGATCAATTATGTTTTATATGTTCAAAACATAATCTATTCTACAAATATAAAAGAAAATTCAACATCTTATATTTGAAACAAAATTTTATGTTTATCTTTTAAAAACATTATTTTTATTATTATTAATTTTTTCATAACATATTATAATATATGACTATGTGTCTAACGTAACAATGTTGTGTAAATGAAAATGATTGATTTATTAACATTTTATTTTATACATCTTTCAATTATGTTTATAATTCAAAAACCTTAACTTGTTGAAACTTTATCAATTGAAAATAAATTTTAAATTTATAAAAGTTTAAATACACATGATCATTTTCAGGTGTTGAATCATGTGGGTAAGAATACAATTTTGCCTAATTGTGTGGTTAGAAAAGTAACTTTACTTATCAAAATGAGTCTTAATTTATCATGTAATTATGTTGATTTTTAAAGATAAAATAACTGTAAAAAATGATTATTATGGTTAAAAATAGGATAAATTTTACATTCGTACATAACTTTCAAAAAACCTTATCAGGATGTAGTTTTCTAATTCACAATTATCACCCTCTTTTTTTTATACTATTAAAAATCTTAAAGAATTTCAAAAATAAAATTTCATAAACCAAATTAAAAAATAAAATTACTAAAAACAAAATTCTAATCAATAATTTAATTTTTCTTCAAACCAAACTTTCTTGTAAATAGATATGTCATCATCTCTTCCCCTTAATTAACTCAATTTGATAGGATGATATTAAGAGTGTAAATGATACATCAATATTTATAAACTATTTGAGTTCGACTTAAATAAAACTCGAATTCGACTCGAATAAAACTCAAATTCGACTCGATTATTATCGAATATAGCTTGAAATCGAATAATTTTAACTTATCGATCAAGCCAAGTTTAAATATTTTTATATTCAACTTGAATAATTCACGAGCCTAATCGAGTTTTATATTTTAATATATTTTAATTATTTTAATTAATAAAATATTTCAAATTCGAACACAAATAATTAAATTTTTATCAAATATAAAAATCAAATTTATTTTTACATGTTAATGAAGTTTAATCGAAAAGGTTCAAATAGCTTAATTTCTTTCTCAAGTCAATTTCAAACTAAAAAAATAAAATTTGATCGAATTCGAATTGAGTTTCAAATTTTAAATTTTAAATCGAGTTCAAACTCAAACTTAATATTATATCGATTCAAACTCAATTCATTATTTTTTAGATGATATCATATGTCTTCCCACATGGTTTAAATTAAAATTATAGATAAAGAAACAAAAAAGGGCAAAGCATTGTGTTGATAAAGTGAAAGTTTTTACCTTTCCTATTTCGATAAAAAAAAAAAGGGAGGTATCTTTTTTTTTTGTTATATCAAAAGATAAAACTTTAATACAAATAAAAAAAAATAAAAAAACTTAATTCGAAATCAAACCTTTAATATTTTTTCAAGCACCTTAACCACTAAGTCGAAGGTTTGGGGAGGGTGAGTTGTGGCATGTGAGGTCAATCACAATCGTAACGCATTGGGAGATATAACAAAAGAAACGAGAAAAATAAAAGAAAAGGCGTTGCCACAAAAACTAGTATAATACTTTTGATAAAATCGTAAAGTTTACGTAAACAATTGTTGGCATGAAAATTTAAAAGAAAATACACATAAAATAATAAAAATTATAAAATATATGATTTCAAAATTAAATAAGAATTATATTAAATTTAAAATAATCAATATTTTATATTTTATATTTAAAATAATAATAAAAATTTAATATAATAATTTTCATATTTTATACACATTAATATAAAATAAATAAACACAAATATAGGAATATCATAATATGCTTTGCCAATTACTATTCTTGATACTAACAGCATTTTGCCTTTCTATTTTGAGTAAAGGCCATACCTATACTATTACTATATGCTTATATAAGGCTCTCATTGTTTTATTAAAAATAATTTTTTGAAAATAATTTTTGTAAAATATATTTATTTTTTAAAAGATTTTGATTTTTTTGTTGAAAGAACTTTTTTTGATGTTTGATTGTTTTTAAAAACTCAATATTTTCATCAAAATAACGTTCTTCACATAACTATTTAGATAATATTTTTATACTTATTAATGATGATGATGATGATGATTATGATAAATGTCATAAATACAAAAAGTAACAAGAATTAAGAAGATGGAATTGGTAAGTTCAATTCTTTTTTTTTTTCCTCACATTTTTGTGTGTGTTCATATTTCTTGATATGGTGCAATATTGGATGTTACAGGAGCAACCTGGGCATCAGCAAAAGGGGCATCACTGGCTTATAATACTCGTGCAAGAACTCCTCTTAAGCCAAGCCTGAGGCTTATTCATGCCAGGTGGTACCACCTCAAATTCCATATTTTTATCAGCAATTTTGTGTATCAAATACTGATGATGATGAGCTGTACTGTGTTGATTTGGTAGGATGCACGCACAAGCCTTAACACTGGTGGTGCTGTCTTGTGCAGCAGCTTACCATTACTATGAAAAGAGTGGCAGCAGCAAGCATGGGAAGGTCGCCAATGCCTAAAACAGATTCATACTACATATATTCTGTAACAATGAAATCTTGATTATTAATGGTTTGACGATGACGAAAATGATGGAATTAATGATTGTGAAGAGATGTGGATTGCATGTTTTTTCAATGGATGCCAAGAACTGAAGAAAAATATTGTAAATGAAGGCTGTTTGATAAGAGTAAAAATGGGAGAAATCAAACGAGTGCTTTGAAATAACAGAAGCGTCCTTGCGTAAATATTACATTACATATGCATATTCCTCACCCAAAACAAAGTAGGAGAATTACTAGTCCCAGGATTATATATAGGTTCATACGTTCACGAGATTAATGCAAATAGGCTTCATTTTTATTTCTTTGTCGAAAAGAGATAGCCATTCAATTTGCTTCGTTTTTATTTCCGTTTATAAGAAAAGGTGGACATTCAATTTCAAACGAATTACTAGTCAAAAGCATAAGATGGGAAGAATATTTAAAAAATAGAATATGTTGGAAAAAAAAAGGAGAAAAAAATATAAAAAATATATATTTAAAACAAACTTAATTAAATTTTTTATATAATAATCTTAATGTAAAAATAAAAAAATTTTAAAATTTAAAATTAAGTTTGGGTCCAATTTTTTTTTATTGTTACAGTAAAATCTCTGTCACCCGACTGCTCATAAGCATTATACTTATTTGTCTTATGTTTGGATTTAATTAACTCATCTAATTATTAATTAAATTTAAATATTAATTTTGATAAAATTTATTCGATATAAATTTTTTATTAAAATTTTTAATTATAGTTATAATAATTTTTATTATTATTTTTAATATCATCATTAAAGTCTTAAAAAGTCATCCCGAAGTTGTTCGGTCGCTGTGTCAATCAGTGTAGGAACAGAAGTAATAATATTTTTAATTTTTTATTTGTTGTAACGAAGACTGAGAGTCAAGCTAGTCAACGCGTTATTCATAGACAAAATTTGCTACCCACTTTCTCAAATCTGGTCGGAGAAACAAACAAGTTGGGGATTTCAGAGAACAATCTTCAATATTCAGTCATTCAATTTCCTTCGGAAAATGGTTTTGGAGGGTGTGTTATTGACAGTCGGAGGGGCACTTCTCTCGTCATTTCTAAATGTACTGTTTGAGAAGATGGCTTCTCCTCAGTTCCTGAACTTGGTCAAGCAACAAAAACTCAGGCGTGATCTCTGGCAGAACTTGGAGATATTGCTGCTAACAGTTGATAAGGTGCTCGCTGACGCCGAGGACAAGCAAATCAACAACCCTTCAGTTAAAAAATGGCTGGACATGCTTAAGGACGCTGCCTATGATGCTGAGGATCTACTAGATGCAATCGCCACTGAAGATCTGAGGGGTCGGTTGAATCGAGAAAAGAAGGATCACTTTAACACTAGCCTTAAACATCTTCTTCAGAAACTCAAAGACATTGCTGCACAAAAAGACGCCCTTGGTTTGCAGGAAAGTTATGGAGGAAAACCATATCCAAGACTGCCTACGACTTCCCTGGTCGATGAATCTGAAGTATGCTTTAGAGAAAATGTCAAAATGCAGATTCTTGATTTTTTGTTATCTGATGCCGTGGATGGAGATAAAATACCCGTAGTTGCAATCCAAGGTATGGGTGGCATCGGTAAGACAACTCTCGCTCAATTTTTGTTCAATGATGAAAGGGTCAAGACCTACTTTAAGTTGAGAACATGGGCTTATGTTTCTGAAGAATTTGACATTTTCAAGGTGACCAAAACAATTTACGAGTCAATTTTATTGAGATCTTGTAATATTAGTGATTTGAACGCACTTCAGCTTGTGTTGGAGAGGAATCTGAAGGGAAAAAAATTTCTACTTGTCTTAGATGATGTTTGGAATGAGATCTTTGTTGATTGGGATCTTGTGAGAAGACCCTTTCAAGTTGGGGCTCCTGGAAGCAAGATTATTGTGACAACCCGTAATCAAAATGTCTCATTCACCATGCGGTCGGTTCTTGTTCATCATCTGCAGCCCTTACCTGACAAGGATTGCTGGTCATTATTTGCAAAACACGCATTCAAGAACAAAGAATCCGATGAAGATCCAACCTTGATTGCAATTGGTAAAAAAATTGTGGAAAAATGCAAAGGCCTTCCTTTAGCTGCTAAAACACTCGGGAGTCTCTTGCGTTACAAAGTGGAAGCAGAAGAATGGCACAATGTCTTGAACAGTAAAATATGGGATCTACCAAATGATAAGAGCAGCATTTTACCGGCCTTAAGATTGAGCTACTGTCATCTTCCTTCTCACCTAAAGCGGTCCTTTGCTTATTGTTCCATATTTCCCAAGGGATATGAATTTGAAAAACGGAACTTGGTTCGACTTTGGATAGCAGAGGGGTTAGTGCTTCAGCTGAACGGCCACAGAAGAATGGAGGAAATCGGTGGACAGTACTTTGATGAGCTATTATCAAGGTCATTGTTTCAACAATCGAGTCGTAAGGAGTCATGTTTTGAAATGCATGACCTTGTCAATGATTTAGCTCAAAATATAGCAGGTGAATTTTGTTTCAAGTTTGAGGATGGCAGCTTACCTCACACTCCTGAAAGGGTTCGCCATTTATCTTGTATTCCGATGCAAGATGAAGCCCCTGAGAAATTTGAGGCCTTTTATGGAGCATTCAAGGGTTTGAGGACATTTTTGCCACTCAGATTATCAAATTCTGGTAGGGTTCATCTAAATCCAATAGTTCTTAAAAACTTGTTTCCAGAATACTGCTCCTTGCGTGTATTGTCATTATCAGCTTATTATATAACTAAGTTGCCTGATTCAATCAGCAACTTAAAGCATCTGCGTTACTTGGATCTTTCTTCCACTGATCTTCAGAACTTGCCTGAAGCAGTGGGTTGTTTGTATAATTTAGAGACGTTGAACTTGTCACATTGTCATAGCCTCACCCAGTTGCCTGCAAATATGGGGAATCTTACTAAATTAGAGCATCTTGATATTAGGCAGACTGCGGTAAAGGAAATGCCAGAAAATTTTGGTAATTTGAAATGTCTCCAGTTTTTGACAAATTTTTTTGTGAGCAAAAACAGTGGGTCAAGGATTAGTGAGTTGAAGGACCTCTCTCTACTGTTTGGTACCCTTTCGATTTTGGGACTCCAGAATGTGTTTCAACCGGAAGATGCCTCAAAGGCCAATTTGAAGGATAAGAAATACCTAGCTGAGTTAATTCTCAAATGGACTACCTATGATTCACGTAATGCAACTGAGGTACTTGAAAAGCTGCGCCCTCATGAAAATTTGAAGAAGCTCAGCATTGAATGCTTTGGTGGTTTAAAACTCACCGGATGGTTAGGGAATGCTTCATTCTGCAAACTAGAGTTTCTGCAACTTGTTGATTGTGGAAATTGCTCATCATTGCCACCTCTGGGGCAACTACCCTCTCTCAAAGAACTCCACATTTTAAGAATGAAAGGCGTGCAACAGATTGGTCATGAGTTCTATGGAAACGATGTCCTGCCATTCAGATCCTTGGAAACATTGCAGTTTCGAGGAATGCTGGATTGGCAGCAGTGGTTGCCTTTGAAAGATGGTGCATTCCCTTCCCTCCAGCAGCTCATTGTGCATAAATGTCCGAATTTGACCGGGTGTTTATCCTGGCTCCTTCCTTCCTTGGTGACGCTTGACATCTATGAATGTAGGAAACTACAGTTGCTTCATCAGAATGGCGTAAATCAACACTCAGCACTCGAGCATTTGTACATTAGGAAGAGTTGTGATGATCTCAAATCATTTCCATTAAGCTCCTTCACAAAACTCAAAAAGCTTAAACTCCAGGATTGCAAATTTCTCAGATCAATTGGGATGCCACATGAATGCCACGAGGATCTCAAATTTCTTCAAAAGTTAACAATTAGAGACTGTGATGATCTGGGGTTCTTTTATGGAAGAGGGTTGCCATCTCTCCAAAAGTTAAAAATATTTCATTGTTCAAATCTCCTTTCATTTGGGGAAGGTGGTTTGCCACCCAGTCTTCAATCACTTTCAATTGAGAACTGCGAGAAACTACCACCCCAAGAAACATGGGGGCTCGACATGGCGTCACTCAGGCATTGTGAGGTTGATTGAGTCACCTAAAGGCTCCTCGATGGTGACTCTCGGTTGAGGTTGAAAATGAAGTTTGCATCCCTAGTCCGAAAACAAAAGAAGTCTGGTGGATACCGATGAATATGCAGATTACAGGTTTGGTTGCTTAGTTTCTTATTTTGTTCATGGCTTATGATATATCACGTGGAAAGCTAGATGCTCTAATAATGTAACTTCCATTGACAGATCCACAAGTCCATTTGGCTGGAATCTTGAAGAATCATAACATATTACATCCCATCTTACGAATGTGACATTGTGTATAAGCCTCAGGAAGGCTACTCCAGCATCATTGATCAAGAATTAGGAAGCTGATCAGTGATCACCCTATAGTTGAAGATTGAAAAAGCTGAAACTTTGAGTGATGGGGAAGACTCTCTATGTAATGGAAGTGAAACATTTTATCAGATACTCTGGCAATGTAACATGGGAATTTTATCAATTTTTTGTTTTAAATGCTGGAAAAATGTCACATGGCAATATTTAATACATTCAAATTTGAGATTGCAGATTTTAAATTAGCTTTTTTTTTTCTCTCTTTTTTCTAAAAGAATTGAAATAAGGCAATGATGGTGGCACATATAATTGGTAAATTTGGTCTGAACACAAATAATTTGCTCAATCCACCTGAATTTGAATATAATTTAACACGATTTAATAAAAAAAATTAACAATAAAGACATTTAAATCGATTTTGATTTAATTCGAAATTAAAATAATTTAAACTCAAATAATTTTGAAATGAAAAAATAGCAATTGGTTGTTTATAAAAATATCTGACACTATCCGACCTGTTTAAAGAAGATTAGGTTGCAGGATACAAATAGTAAGCTTAATGTATATGCTACTCCAACCCGATTACAAATAATGGATTTTGTAATATTTATTTTAATATTATATTATATTATATTTAGTTGTATATGATACTTATAATTGACAAATCATTTAAATTTCTGAATTATTTAAATGTAAAATACATTTTAAATTTATTAATTTAAATTTAATTAACAAACATATAAAAATAATTTATTTTTATTTTTATTATTGAATTCGAGTAAGATAGATTATTGTAATTGCTACCCTTACCCATACCATTGTTAACTAAAACAACGAGTTGGAATTTTAACAGGTGTTTTATTAAATGGGTGTGGAGTATCGTGACACTCTAATTTTATATCGAAAAAATTTTAAGAATATGTTATAATATAAAAATAGAGGTTTAAACTTAAATCTACGAAGCATTTTTTATAAAATAAAATTATGAAATTTTTAAATCAAAACAAATAATATTTCACAAGTTAGGTGTGAATCTCTATAAATAGTATTAGAGCAGTTATCAATTGTAAGAAACTAAGTGCTACACAATGAGTCATCTCTAAAATCTCAATATTTGATATAATCTTATGATTTGTGTGTGTTTTATGTTAAGCTTGATAAGAACGTTAAGCTTTAACCGGAAAAGTTTGTGATACCTCAATTTCATAACGAAAAATTCTGAAAATCTACTATGATATATAAATAGAGGCTTAAACTCAAATTTGTGAGACGCTTTTATGGTATAAAGTAGTGAAACCTTCGGATCAAAGTAAATAATATTTTACGAGTTTGGTGCATGTCTTTGTAAATAGTATCAAAGCGATTGTCAATCGAACGAGAGCTAAGTCATACACTGTATGAGTCATATACTGTATGATATTATGAATTTAGGTTAATAAGTAAAAGAATTAATTACACTTTTGATATTTATTTTTTAAAAAAATATATAAATTGATATCTAAAAAAATAAGGTGTACAATTATCCTTTGAACTTTAAAATGATATATTATTTTAATTCAATTTTTAATTTGTTTAATTCACCTATATAGATATCTAACCAATAAATAAATATGTTAAATATTTTATAAAAATATCATGCAAATGTTACATGACAAATAATAATTAATCTATTCTAGACAATTTTTATGTTTCAAATAAAATATATATTTTATATTTATAATAAAAAATGTTAATGATACTTATGATAAATACATAACTTAATAATATTTATCAAATGTCACGTATATAAACTAATATAATTAATAAGATTACAATTTGAGTTAATATAATGTATAATTTAAAAATACATGTACAAATTGTATATTTTTTAAGCATCAATTTATAGGTTTTTAAAGTTCAAGTGTAAAAATTGTAATTAAGCTGAAATATAAGGCTGTCTAGATTAGAGAAGATGAACAAGGGTCAACGGCAGCAAAAATCGGCCCCTTTCCTTACCGTGATCTCCCCACTCTTGAAATTTTGATTTACTTGTGCCTTTTTTCTTTTCTTAATTGTAGAGTTGTGTTCAACATGGCTGAGGTGATTCTGTCTGCTGTGAGCTCGATTCTGTCACAGGCATTAGCTTCTGTTAAAAAGTCTGATGCACTCCTCCGTCAGATCGAGTCATCACTGGAGGTTATCAGAGCTGTATTGCTCGACGCAGAGGAGAAGCAGATCGTAGACAGGTCCGTGAAAGTTTGGTTGGAGAATGTCCGAGATGTTGCCTACGATGTAGAAGACCTACTGGATGAGATTTTATTCGATGCCCAGAAAAGGGAATTGCAAGCTGCATCTCGGACTGCCAAACCATGGGCAAGCATATTCGGTTCTGGTTCTGGGCAACGATATGGAAAAGGGTTTAGGTCAAAGATGAAAAAGATAGTTGCTGAATTGGATGAATTAGCTACAGTGACTTCAAAATTTCGTCTTGTGGCCAGTGAAAGTAAAGTTTCAGGCCCAGACCACTTTGCTACAACTTCTTTTGTAGATGAATCCAGTATCTTCGGGAGAGAAAAAGAGAAGGCTGAAATTGTTGGGTTGTTGCTATCAGAGGATGCAAATTCAGGTGTTGGGGCAATTGGCATAATAGGCATGGGTGGGTGTGGCAAGACCACCCTCGCTCAGCTTGCGTACAACGACGACACAGTGCGCATGCATTTTGAGCTCATAGCATGGATTTGTGTCTCGGATGACTTTGACATTCGCAAAATCACGATAGCAATTATTGAGGCAGCCACATCCAATGTTTTTCGTGGATCGAACAATTTAGATCTGCTTCAAAGTGAGTTAAGCGAGAGGTTAGCAGGTAGGAGGTTTCTACTTGTCTTAGACGGCATTTGGAGTGAAGGATATAAGGACTGGGAGATCCTAAAGGCTCCACTGATGTGTGGTGCAAGGGGAAGCAAGATCCTCGTCACCACACGCAGCTACAATGTTGCACGTGCGGTGCCCTGTTCCTTTTATCATCATATGCAACCCTTGGGGATGGATGACTGCTGGAGGATATTCTCACGCTCCGCATTCGTACGCAGAAGCAAAGGTGAAATTGAAACACTGCAAGACATTGGCAAGCGTATTGTGCAGAAATGCGGGGGCATACCATTGGCTGTAAAAGCAATTGCGGGGGTCTTGCGTTCCATGAGGTCTCGTGAAGAATGGTTTCAAGTCCTTAACAGCACATCATGGGAAGCGGTTGGTGCAGATGTTGTTATGCAATCTCTACGTTTGAGCTATACTTACCTTCCTGCAATGTTAAAGACATGTTTTGCTTACTGTGCAATTTTTCCTAAAGGCTCCAAATTCGACAAGGAAAAACTGGTCCTCTTATGGATGGCGCAAGGCTTTCTACAGCACCAATCTAATGCCACAATGGAAGAAGTAGGTTTTGATTACTTAAACCACTTATTGGGGAGGTCAGTAGTTGAACAATCTGGGGACTCACACTTAATAATGAATGATCTAATGAATGATTTAGCTCGGTCTGTATCTGGGGAAGTCTGTTCAATATTGGAATTAGATAATGGAATGGAATCTGTAATACCTGAAAGGACTCGCCATCTACTCGTAAGAGGGAAATCTGATTCTCTTGAGAAACTTGGGATCAGTGGTAAAGCTAAGAGCTTAAGAACCTTGTTTCTGACTGACTCCTCTTCAGACCAATTAAGTCCTCACTTATTGCTGGATTTGGTGTCCAGGCAACAGCAGTTACGAGCCCTATCTTTATCTCACTTTAAAATAGCTGAGTTGCCTATTTCAATAGGCAAATTGAAACATCTGCGCTACTTCGACCTTTCCCACAGTGCTTTAAAAAGGTTGCCTGAATCATTATGCACTCTTTACTTTCTGCAAACACTTATATTGACGAACTGCTCTTCTCTTATTATGTTGCCACAAGGCATAGTGAATCTGGTTAGCTTGCGACATCTCCGCATTAAGGGTACTGGCTTGCTGCAGATGCCAGAAGAAATGAGTAGATTAAAAAGCCTACAGACTTTGACTAATTTTATTGTTGGCCGTGGTGGGTCACAGATTAAAGAATTGGATGCACTTGTAGATCTTCGAACATTGTCCCTCTCAGAGTTGCAAAATGTATCCTCTGGTTCTGATGCATCTGAGGCCAATTTGAAAGACAAGAGACACCTCGATGAACTACAATTGGAATGGAGCAGTGATAGCAATGATCCAAAAAATGAAAGAGAAGTACTGAAGAATCTAGAGCCTTGTAAAGAGTTGAAAAACCTTACCATTAGATTTTATGGTGGCATAGAGTTTCCTTCTTGGTTGGGAGACTCTTCATTCTCAAATATCATGTTTCTGCATCTCAGTGACAGCAAAAATTGTTCATCATTACCACCACTAGGGCAGCTTCCCTCTCTTGAACATCTCATTATTGAACGGATTAGTGGGGTAAGCAGCATTGGTCAAGAGTTCTATGGTGAAGACATATATAGTTGTCAACCATTCCCATGTCTGAAGACATTAAAAATTGAAGGAATGTCACAATGGGAGCAATGGATATCACCTGAAATTGAAGATGCAGAGCGAATGGAGTTTCCCTGCCTGCAGGAGCTTTATATACAAAATTGTCCAAATTTAGAGGGTAGTTTGCCCAAGAGCCTTCCTTCTTTGTTGAAACTGGAGATCTCTAATTGTCAGCAGCTTAAGGTTGAACTTCCGAGGGTTCCAGATAGATGTGAACTGAAGTTATATGACTGCGCTCAGGTGCAGAGAAGAAATGAAAAAATGGCAGTGAGAATTGATGATGAAGTAGCATCCCAGTTGTCGTCCACTGTGGCTGATCAGATTTCAATCCATTCATATGATGGCTTTTCCCAATCCTCTTCAAGTAAGAACCTACATGATGCTCCCTCCACATCATTTTCAAAGATGTCTGAGATTTCAAAAGTTGCCGACCAACATGATGATCAGATGTTTCAGAAAAAAGAACGACTTGAAGATCAGATTCAGACTGTGTCAAGTGAAGATGCGATCCAACACTTCTCTTCCTTTGCAAATTTCAAAGTTTCAAGTTTGGCACAGTTAATGGAATTGCCACCTGAGTTGCTTAGCCTTAGAATTGAGAGCTGTGATGACATAGAGTCTCTACCCTCTGGAATAAAGGACAGGCATTTTCAAGAATTGTATATCATTGATTGCAATTCATTCAAGACTTTTCCTCAAGGACATCTAACCAATTCGTTGAAAACACTTTATATCCGTAACTGCAGAAATTTAAAGTTTCCCCAACCAAAAGAAATGAACCAGTTTATACTCCTGGAAGATTTATGTTTAGGGAGTAGTTGTGATTCTCTCAAGTCCTTCCCCTTGAATTGTCTCCCAAAGCTTAAAACTCTAAGTCTCTGGGACTGCAGAAATCTTGAATATCTTTCAATTGAGAAGGAATTGCAGAACGATATAAGGTCACTTGAGGCCTTGGAAATTAGAGATTGTCCTAATTTGACAACATTTCCTAATGAGGGATTGCAAGCCCCAAGCCTGACATCACTTGTTTTGTCCAACTGTAGCAATCTAAAGTCACTGCCAAGATGGATGCAAAGCCTCAGATCTCTTCAGTCACTGCACATAAACAAATGTCCAGAATTGGAGTCACTCCCGTCTAGGGGCCTGCCTTCCAGCCTGAATATACTTTGCATCACTTTTTGTGACAAAATCTCTCTTCAGAGAGCATGGGAATTAGATAAACTCAATTATCTTGGTCATTTTGAGATTGAAGGTGGATGCAAAGAAATGTTGTCATTCCCGGAGGATGGCCTGCTGCCAACCAATCTTAAATCTCTACGCATCAGCAGACTTTTGAATCTCAAATGCCTAGACGAAAATGAACTTCAGCGACTCACCTCACTTCAAACTCTAGAAATAAACTGCTGTAACGAGCTTCGTTCCTTGCCAGAAGATCTGCCTTCCTCCCTGTCTTTTCTAAGAATCACAGACTGTTCTATATTAAAGCAGAAGCTTCAAAAGAGAAAGGGAAAGGAGTGGTTCAAGATAGCTCATATTGCTTCGATCCATATAGATGAGGTAAAGTCTTTTAAACAACTCTAGGAAAGTCCTTGCCACTTGCTTGCACGATTGAAAGATCCAAAATACATGTATATATGCAAGGGTATCATAACTCATACCTGAATAGCAACTAATGCTTTTAACTTGTATGTGAATTACAGTAGTTAATGATTTACTTTATCATGATATTTCTTGTATTTTGATGTCAGTGATTAATACAAGTGCTTATCGATTTTCAACCAGGCGCACATCTGCAGGTTCGTCCTCTCAGATTATAAGTCATCAGCTATATCTTTCACTTTTTATTTCCCCTTTTTCGCTCACTAAATATCTTAAATAGTTTATTTTTTCTAGTTATAATAAGATGCCTTCAGGAGATTTCTTTTCTTTTTCCTTGGTAAATGGGTCACATCTATCTTGAACACAAGGCTTACAAATAAAGTTCAACATTCATCAACATGTTGTCTGACTATTTATATTCAACTATATACATGAGTTCTATCGTATGATATTCATATGAATTTATACGATGGTATATTTCATAGCAGCTTAAATTGGTGTCTGATATGTGTCCTACATCATAATTGCTTCAAACTTTCCACATATTTAGGCTTATCATGTCCTTTTCTAATTATGCTGTGAAATGAAAAAGATGATTGAAAATAGATTAGTCAACATTAAATGTTTGCTTCTGTTAACAACTTTGTACATCTCGTTATAATATGTAATCAAAATGGGATGCACAAATATAATCATTCATTTCAGGTTTGTGGTTAATTTAGCTATTAGCATTTTCATGCTTGATTTTTTTTGCACAGGACCACAGCTTAACAGACTTCCTCCTGTGGGAGTGGATCACTGTTCTGCTCTCTGTCACTAGGTCCTGAATGTCAACGAGCCTGGCGGGTTTTAAAGATTATCCAAAACTATTCAAATATGCACAGCTGGGAATGGAAAGGAAGGACATGCTTGGTGCTAGAATTGCTGAGTGTTAATGCTGTGTTTTTCTGGTTCCTGCGTTGTGTGAAGTTTTTATGCTATTGTGCAATACTGGATTTGTTTTTTTTCCTTTTTCTATTTCAGTTTGCTTTTGGGATCGTTCTGGTTGTCTTTTTGCAGCTGTGTTGTTTTGTTCTGTGACTAGCTATTGCTGGTATGAAGTATATATAAACTGTTGTATCTTCGCGTTACGTTTGGTAAATCACTCTTGGCTTGGCAAAACTATTGTACTATATAAATAAACATGCAGAATATCCTTCTGGATTCTGTTTCTTTTCTTTTTTTCTCCCACCATTTCGTTCTGAATTCTGATCTGTGTTTCTAGTCGTTTTATATACCTTAAATATATTTGCTTTAAATGGATGACGGCCATTGAAAAATGCAATCAAAGACATAATTATTTATCAATATTCCGGGCTTCAAATGAGCCCATCTCAGCACTTTCTTATTGTTCGACTCAAATTCGACAGGTTCTTTTTTCCCCCCTTCTGACACAACGGAGGTGTCTATTAATTTCTTTAAAACGTCACCCAACTAGAAACATTTTAAGTTTTGAACACCCCATAATTTGGTCGTTAATTTTATATTTGATTTTACTTTTAGAAAAGAAAAGAAATCAAACTATACATTTAAATTTCAAATCTGTTGGTAAAGTGTTAGATTTTTAATTTTTGTTATCAAAATTCAAAATCTAACAGCTTTAAATGTAATAGATAGATAAATAGATAAATAAATAAATACATTTAAATATATATATATATATATAAAACAATGAGACATTTAAAATTTAGTTGAGCTCATTCATTTGGTTATGAAGTTGCAACTTTGTCAATAATTAATCTGTTATGAATCTAGCAGTTTGTTCATGCAAGACATGAAATGGCATAATGTTGATCATGCCATAATTGCCATTGGTTTCCGAGATGGGACTAGGAGAGGATACAGCAGTGTCATAGCAGCTGGTCAGGTTGGCCTACAAAGCTAATATTTTGGAAGTTCTGAATGTTAATAAAGTGGTGAAAGGGGGAGGTGCTGCTAGCTAGCCTTAACACATCCTTGCTGTTGTGAAGCTGGAAAGTCTTTTTCTTCTTCCTAACATTTTTTTTTCTTTTTCTAATCAAATCCCAACCGCTGTTGTTTAAGCCCTTGAAGGGCTTCTTTGCAACCAACTCAAACACATTTCCAACCAACTTCCCTTCTTTCCCTTGATTGACCAACACACTTCTACCTTTTCTTCTTCTTCAATATACAGTCATCCATTGACTTTTCTACCCGTGCTAGAATTTTACATTAGATTATTTCAGTATGGAGTATGATGCCTAGCTTTATACATTACTGGCAACCTATGAAGCATGGACACGTCTGAATCCCGTTCGTACCCGTGTCCTAACTAGGTAAAAGTACGTGTTTTTCCTTATGTTAGCCACAGCCACTTGCAAATCTTACCAAACGGATAACAAGCATGAAGGATATAGAAGATGGTTTGAATAAGAAAATAAGCTTCTTGAGTGGATTTGTTGTGGCTTTCAGAGAACAAATTCACACTGACATTCAGTTCAAACCTGCAACAATGGAGCTTCCATACCAGCATACAGAGGTTTACTGGATCTTAATTTCCACTTTTTCTGTAAACTAAAATCAATTATTTATTTACTGAATTTATAAGCAGCAGGATCAGAGATATTCAGGAACATGCTTGACTCTCCCAGAGTTGAATACTGTTAAGAACTTGAGTTTCTTTACAGTGGATGTTAGTAGTCTAGAATGTGATAAATTTTACATTGGATAGAAAATTTTAATTATTAATAAATAAAATTAATTTTTATATTAATTTTATTCATATTTTAAATAATTATGATTGAATAAAAATAATTATCGTATAACAAATAATCATAATTATTTGATTATAAATAAATTTTTGTTCATAAGATCATGATTACAAAATGTCATAATCATTTAAATAGAAATTTATATCTATTTATTTATTAAAATAGTTCTTTTAGTATAACTATTTTTAATTACTTTTGTATGAAAAATTTTAAGATTTTATTGTATCCTAGAAGTAAAATTATTTTTAGGAAATATTTTTCATGCCTCAAAACCAAAATTATTTTCTACTATTTCTCTTCTCTTATTTATTTTTTCTAACAATTTAAAGTTAATTATGAAAAAAATTTTATATTTTGTATTTATGGAGATGCAAGAGAAAAATTTAGAAATACATTTGTGAAATCCGAATTCTTGAAATAATTATGAATAAAGAGAAATAATTCTCTATTGTGATATCAGATAAGTTTTTCTTTAATTTTTATTCAAAATTAGTGTGTCATTAATTTATTGTTCTGTTGCATGAATCTAATTCTATGATTGTTTTTCATATTACTTGGGTTTTTGAAAATTTTTAATTGTGCATTCCAAAAGTTTAACTGGAATTGATTTTTCAAAATTGTGGCTAATAGTAGTATGAAATTAATAAGATGAATATATTGGCATGATTTATTTGTGAAATTTTATGTTACTATATCAAAACGAAGGTTTGACTAATAAATTGAGTTAAATGTGATATACAAGTTTAAATGGAAAGCACATCATTAATAACATTAAAGGTAATCCACCATTGTCTTATTAGCCATGTCTATAAACTTATAAAGTTTTTATTTTGGAATGCCAAGAATAAGATAACATAGTTTGCAATTAAACCAATTTAACTACATTTGTTTTAATGCAAATAGTGATTATAAATAATTGTAAGGACATATGGCATTACTGTGCATAAATTAATTAAAAAAGATAATGCACAACTCTCCATGGGTTTTTATAATTTCATGGCAAGGATTTATACTGGTTACCCGTAATGTGAGGATTTGATAATGATATTCGCTTACAATAGCCTCAATCCTCGAAATTGATCACTAAATGAATTATCCATAGAGAAGATGATATAACTCTTAAATGAACATTGGTTTGGTAAGTTTGAAAATTATTTATTTGTATATATGCAAAAAAAATTTTTCTTAGTGGTCTTTGCATAAAAGTGATATTTGTTTAATTTTATTTGATAATAATCATGGCTTGTATAAACGATTTACATCTCATGATTTTATTAAAAGTATTGAGATATAGTGAAAGAATAAAATTGTATTTATTTTGAAAGCTATGAGTAACTCAAAGATTTAATGAATATAAACAAAATTAAATAGCACGAAAAATGTTATTTGACCCATTTGGGTGATGGACATAGTTTTGCTCATGGTAATAAATTGATGAATGGTGTTCATGATGAAATAGATTCATAAATTTCCATAAGTTGGCATGAAAGTCTCAAAAAAGAGACTATAGAAAGCATGAGTATACTAAAAAAAATTTGAGAGTAATTATATTTGACATCATTCTTATTGATATATACTCTTATATTGAGTTTAACTAAAAGTTTTGAAACTTTTATGAGAAGAAAATATTAAGATATAAAATATTTGCTAATTATTTTTCACATAGGGTAGATTTAGAAGCTTCCAACTTAAAAAAAAAACTAAATAGTAAAAAGATAAATAAAATGATAACTTAATTAAGTATTATGATATTTTGATAATTAAATGGAACATTCTTTAATAAAAGAATGTATATTTACACAAGGTGGGGGTGATGAGAATAAAAAAATAAAAATTCTCACCATAGTGTTGTAAGATTTTAGTATAATTTTATGAATAAATTATGCAAGCTAATAAGATTAGTACAACTTATTAAAAAGGACCTTAAATATCTTTACATTACTAAAATAGCTTGGTTTATTCATTGAGTTTATCTAATTGTACTAAAAGTATAATTATATAAAAGACGTATAAAAGTATGAAAATAGAATGATTGAAATGTATGACTATATAGTTGTGGCCACAACTAATACCATCTATTTCTTATAATGACAAGAACAAGGCAATAATGTCTAGAACATATAAATGATATGCAAAATAAAAATTTTGGATATATTAACCTGAAGTGATTATATTAGAAATTTAATCTCAAGTTGGGGTAATTACCATAAAAAAATTGAATTCCAAGATAAATGGTTAAGCAGTACTAAAAGTAGAATGGATTTAAACACTTACTATTAGACACCAATAATGGGAACCCAACTCTAAATTAGTAACCTCTAGCTACAAAGTTTAATGGATAAAAACAAATTATTGTTACGTGTCTAATAAACACTAGTAAAATTCATTCAAATTTTAGAAACTAGTGTGTTCCATTAGTTAGGGAGGATGAGTTTTTATACTTTTAATGAAATTTTAAATGTCTAAAGCAATGGAGACATAATGAAAGCTCTACCTATATAAATATAGAAGTGGTGTAGCTTCAACCAAAAGAATTGGGATCTCTTTTATAAATGTTTATAAATAGGATAAACACATAATTATAATAGTGTTAAAACGATTATAAATGTATGATAAAAGAATAAATAAATATTATGTGTGTTATATATACAATTTTAACAATAAGAGTTGAGGTTTAGTTTGTGGACACCATCAAATTCGTTAGAATTCTAAGATATATATATTAATTGAAAGTTTAAATTGAGAGATACCTTCTTGTATTCATAGTATTTATTTATGTAAAAAGTTAAAGATTGAACACCAACATTCCAAACCATTGGGAAATTATTGGTAGTTTGGATTATGGTGCATCCCACGTTGGATAAAAAATTTTAATTATTGATGAATAAAATTAATTTTTATATTACTTTTATTCATATTTTAAATAATTATGTTTGAACAAAAATAATTATCATATGACAAATGGTCATAACTATTTCATTATAAATAAATTTATGTTCATTAAGGTCATGATTATACATAAGGTCATAACAATTTTAATAGAAATTTATATTTGTTTATTCATTATAAATAGATATTCTGATATAATCATTTTAACTACTTCTGCTTCAAGAGTTTTGAAGTTTTGTTATATCCTAGAGGCATAATTGCCTTTAAGAAAATATTTTTCATGCCTTAAAACTGAAATTATTTTTCATTATTGCTCTTTTTTTATTTATTTTTACTAATAGTTGAAACTTGCCTTTAGATAAGCTAAAGAAGCATGTATTCTCATTGTTTGTTGCAGCTGATAAGTATGAGATTCCGCACTTACAATTCAGTAAATGGTACATGTTAAGTTCCTTGAATGCTTGCAATGTTTTTAAAAATTTTGAGATCCAAGACATTTGTTCAAACAAAATATTAAAGGAAACTGCCTTGAACTTCATTGTTAGAAGCATGAGGGATATAGTTTTC